AAGCATGCAGAATCGACTCAGAATAGGAAAAGGAGACGTTTAGGTCAATTTTATGCATTCTGGCGTTCGTAGATACAAGAAAACTGTTAAAATTCTTCAGAAACGTCACTTTTGAAGTGTTTTCTTGTACTTTTAAGCCACTCAGATACCCTACGGGCTCGGAAAGTGCAACGAAACCATCAAATTTTAGCTAGAAACTGTATTTTTGTCGATTTTTATTGAATTTGAACTATATTTCAACGTTTTTTGATGGTTCTGAGCCACCAAACACACTTAAAGCATGCAGAATCGACTCAGAATAGGAAAAGGAGACGTTTAGGTCAATTTTATGCATTCTGGCGTTCGTAGATACAAGAAAACTGTTAAAATTCTTCAGAAACGTCACTTTTGAAGTGTTTTCTTGTACTTTTAAGCCACTCAGATACCCTACGGGCTCGGAAAGTGCAACGAAACCATCAAATTTTAGCTAGAAACTGTATTTTTGTCGATTTTTATTGAATTTGAACTATATTTCAACGTTTTTTGATGGTTCTGAGCCACCAAACACACTTAAAGCATGCAGAATCGACTCAGAATAGGAAAAGGAGACGTTTAGGTCAATTTTATGCATTCTGGCGTTCGTAGATACAAGAAAACTGTTAAAATTCTTCAGAAACGTCACTTTTGAAGTGTTTTCTTGTACTTTTAAGCCACTCAGATACCCTACGGGCTCGGAAAGTGCAACGAAACCATCAAATTTTAGCTAGAAACTGTATTTTTGTCGATTTTTATTGAATTTGAACTATATTTCAACGTTTTTTGATGGTTCTGAGCCACCAAACACACTTAAAGCATGCAGAATCGACTCAGAATAGGAAAAGGAGACGTTTAGGTCAATTTTATGCATTCTGGCGTTCGTAGATACAAGAAAACTGTTAAAATTCTTCAGAAACGTCACTTTTGAAGTGTTTTCTTGTACTTTTAAGCCACTCAGATACCCTACGGGCTCGGAAAGTGCAACGAAACCATCAAATTTTAGCTAGAAACTGTATTTTTGTCGATTTTTATTGAATTTGAACTATATTTCAACGTTTTTTGATGGTTCTGAGCCACCAAACACACTTAAAGCATGCAGAATCGACTCAGAATAGGAAAAGGAGACGTTTAGGTCAATTTTATGCATTCTGGCGTTCGTAGATACAAGAAAACTGTTAAAATTCTTCAGAAACGTCACTTTTGAAGTGTTTTCTTGTACTTTTAAGCCACTCAGATACCCTACGGGCTCGGAAAGTGCAACGAAACCATCAAATTTTAGCTAGAAACTGTATTTTTGTCGATTTTTATTGAATTTGAACTATATTTCAACGTTTTTTGATGGTTCTGAGCCACCAAACACACTTAAAGCATGCAGAATCGACTCAGAATAGGAAAAGGAGACGTTTAGGTCAATTTTATGCATTCTGGCGTTCGTAGATACAAGAAAACTGTTAAAATTCTTCAGAAACGTCACTTTTGAAGTGTTTTCTTGTACTTTTAAGCCACTCAGATACCCTACGGGCTCGGAAAGTGCAACGAAACCATCAAATTTTAGCTAGAAACTGTATTTTTGTCGATTTTTATTGAATTTGAACTATATTTCAACGTTTTTTGATGGTTCTGAGCCACCAAACACACTTAAAGCATGCAGAATCGACTCAGAATAGGAAAAGGAGACGTTTAGGTCAATTTTATGCATTCTGGCTTTCGTAGATACAAGAAAACTGTTAAAATTCTTCAGAAACGTCACTTTTGAAGTGTTTTCTTGTACTTTTAAGCCACTCAGATACCCTACGGGCTCGGAAAGTGCAACGAAACCATCAAATTTTAGCTAGAAACTGTATTTTTGTCGATTTTTATTGAATTTGAACTATATTTCAACGTTTTTTGATGGTTCTGAGCCACCAAACACACTTAAAGCATGCAGAATCGACTCAGAATAGGAAAAGGAGACGTTTAGGTCAATTTTATGCATTCTGGCGTTCGTAGATACAAGAAAACTGTTAAAATTCTTCAGAAACGTCACTTTTGAAGTGTTTTCTTGTACTTTTAAGCCACTCAGATACCCTACGGGCTCGGAAAGTGCAACGAAACCATCAAATTTTAGCTAGAAACTGTATTTTTGTCGATTTTTATTGAATTTGAACTATATTTCAACGTTTTTTGATGGTTCTGAGCCACCAAACACACTTAAAGCATGCAGAATCGACTCAGAATAGGAAAAGGAGACGTTTAAGTCAATTTTATGCATTCTGGCGTTCGTAGATACAAGAAAACTGTTAAAATTCTTCAGAAACGTCACTTTTGAAGTGTTTTCTTGTACTTTTAAGCCACTCAGATACCCTACGGGCTCGAAAAGTGCAACGAAACCATCAAATTTTAGCTAGAAACTGTATTTTTGTCGACTTTTATTGAATTTGAACTATATTTCAACGTTTTTTGATGGTTCTGAGCCACCAAACACACTTAAAGCATGCAGAATCGACTCAGAATAGGAAAAGGATTTGTTTAGGTCAATTTTATGCATTCTGGCGTTCGTAGATACAAGAAAACTGTTAAAATTCTTCAGAAACGTCACTTTTGAAGTGTTTTCTTGTACTTTTAAGCCACTCAGATACCCTACGGGCTCGGAAAGTGCAACGAAACCATCAAATTTTAGCTAGAAACTGTATTTTTGTCGATTTTTATTCAATTTGAACTATATTTCAACGTTTTTTGATGGTTCTGAGCCACCAAACACACTTAAAGCATGCAGAATCGACTCAGAGTAGGAAAAGGAGACGTTTAGGTCAATTTTATGCATTCTGGCGTTCGTAGATACAAGAAAACTGTTAAAATTCTTCAGAAACGTCACTTTTGAAGTGTTTTCTTGTACTTTTAAGACACTCAGATACCCTACGGGCTCGGAAAGTGCAACGAAACCATCAAATTTTAGCTAGAAACTGTATTTTTGTCGATTTTTATTGAATTTGAACTATATTTCAACGTTTTTTGATGGTTCTGAGCCACCAAACACACTTAAAGCATGCAGAATCGACTCAGAATAGGAAAAGGAGACGTTTAGGTCAATTTTATGCATTCTGGCGTTCGTAGATACAAGAAAACTGTTAAAATTCTTCAGAAACGTCACTTTTGAAGTGTTTTCTTGTACTTTTAAGCCACTCAGATACCCTACGGGCTCGGAAAGTGCAACGAAACCATCAAATTTTAGCTAGAAACTGTATTTTTGTCGATTTTTATTGAATTTGAACTATATTTCAACGTTTTTTGATGGTTCTGAGCCACCAAACACACTTAAAGCATGCAGAATCGACTCAGAATAGGAAAAGGAGACGTTTAGGTCAATTTTATGCATTCTGGCGTTCGTAGATACAAGAAAACTGTTAAAATTCTTCAGAAACGTCACTTTTGAAGTGTTTTCTTGTACTTTTAAGCCACTCAGATACCCTACGGGCTCGAAAAGTGCAACGAAACCATCAAATTTTAGCTAGAAACTGTATTTTTGTCGACTTTTATTGAATTTGAACTATATTTCAACGTTTTTTGATGGTTCTGAGCCACCAAACACACTTAAAGCATGCAGAATCGACTCAGAATAGGAAAAGGAGACGTTTAGGTCAATTTTATGCATTCTGGCGTTCGTAGATACAAGAAAACTGTTAAAATTCTTCAGAAACGTCACTTTTGAAGTGTTTTCTTGTACTTTTAAGCCACTCAGATACCCTACGGGCTCGGAAAGTGCAACGAAACCATCAAATTTTCGCTAGAAACTGTATTTTTGTCGATGTTTATTGAATTTGAACTATATTTCAACGTTTTTTAATAATAATAATAATAATAATTTTTATTGAACCAATTTTAAATAAATAAATTATAAACATTGGTACAAAAGGTGCAGATACAGCAAACACTGATATTAATCTGACCTGACATTAGTATCTAACCTAACATGAGTATTAAAAGAAATTTAATTATTATTAACAATTTAAAACAGACCTAAATTTATATTTGGTATTTCTCCATTCAGCAGTCGTTGTTTTAGCAGTTTTTTTGAAGTTTCATTAAAAATGAGGCTCTTCTCTACGCCAATGACATTATTTATAACATACGCCGCCAAGTAGGAAAATGAAGACTTAAAACATACCAGGTTATGCCGTGGTATGTCAGCTGAAAAACACACATTTCTTAGGTTTTTATTGTGGATAGTTGATCGCAGCACTATTTTGTTAATCAAATAAGAAGGTACTGATGTGTGCAACACTTTGGAAACAATTGAGACATAATGAATGAAGCGTCGTTCACCTGACTTCAGCCAATTTAGTTGTCTACTGAAGGGGGTCACATGAGCAAAACGTGGAACAGTTAATGTATAGCGGGTACAAAAATTTTGAATTTTCTGTAGCCGATATTTTTGCAGCTGAGATAGACAAGGGCCGTATACTGTGTCAGCATAATTTAAATGAGATAAAATCAAAGCATCTGACAGCCGCTTTTTAGATTTAGTATCCAGATAAAACCTGTAAGGACTTATTTGCTTAAAAGATAAAAAGGTTTTTTTGCAAATGTGATTGACATGTTCCACAAACTTTAGTTGGCTATCAAGCATAACTCCCAGACTCTTAACCACAGAGGAACTTTTCAGGACATGATTGTTTACTTTTAATTCAACACGATTTCCACATTGAAGAAGCTTTGTAGGCATACCAAACAGAATCGTTTCACATTTACTGTGATTGAGTTGCAAGCAGTTGTTTACGCACCATTGCTGTACATGTTCTAGATCTCTATTTATAAGGTTAACACACGCTTCAGTTTCTTCAGGATTAAAAGTAAGATAAAGTTGTACATCATCTGCATACATGTGTACACAGCAATGTTTAATAACTTTTACTAAGTCGGCAGAATATAAAGAAAAGAGAAGAGGTCCAAGTACCGACCCTTGGGGAACCCCGGAACTTAAAGCCATCATATTTGATTTCTGACCATTAGTCAACTAACTGAGCACGATTAAATAAATAATTCTGGAACCAATTCAAGGTGGCTCCATACACTCCATAATACTTAAGTTTGGTAACCAACAGAGATATATTGAGGCTATCAAATGCCTTGGACATGTCAAGCAGAGTTAGCAAAGTGACTTTACCACTGGAGAATCCACTAAAAATGTCATCAACCAAGGAAATGAGAACTGTAGATGTACTGAAGTTTTCTCGAAATCCAGACTGTTGCGACGGAAGAATGTTTTTCTCCATTAGAAATGTTTTAAATTGAGCACATAGTGCAAACTCAGCCACTTTTAGCGTGTTACAAATCAGACTTATTGGCCTAAAATCATCTAAAGAAACAGATGTTTTTTTCTTAGGAATCGGCTTCACCAAAGAGAAGTTCCACAGTTTAGGGACTTGTCCCTGTTCAAAAGCGAGGTTGATAATATGAGTGAGTGGTTCACTAAACCAAGTAGAAGCTAACTGAAGCATTTTACCTGTAATGCAATCCACACCAGCACAGTTAGGTTTCAAGTTTGAAACAAAGGTCTCAATTGTTGCAACATCTACCGGTTTGAATAAAAATTGATCAGATGAAAAGGATTGCATAGTAAAAGATGAAATATATTGCTGCTCACCACAGCTGGAAAACTTTGGGACAGATTCAATAAAGTGTTTATTTATGTCATTTACATTAAATTCAGTAGGTACTGTGTTATTTGTATATTGATTACCAATTTGTAGCGACTTAATTTTATTCCAATACTTCTTCTGATCATTATAAACAGAACTTAAAACATGCTGATAATAGGCACGTTTTTCGTTAGCAACAGCAAGATTATAGAAATTTCGTACTTGACAGAAAAATTGTTTATGAACAATAGATCTGGACTTTTTGTAACGAAGCCAAGCTTTCCGTTTGATTTTGCTCAGATATTTTAAATTGTCGGTATACCAAGGTTGATAATGCTGTTTCACTTTAATGGTTTTAAGAGGTGCATGAAATTCAAATAACATGAGCAAGGAATGATTAAATAAAGCAAGTTTTTCATCTATGTTTGACATTTGATAAAATCTAGACCAATCAATTTTGTTCGCGTCTTCAGCGAATTTATGTATATCAAAATTTTTGTACGACCTTATGGTTTTTAACAAGGGCTTGGGTTTCTGGTTTTCTAACGCTATTTTGCAAGAGACAGTATTATGTTCCGAAATCATCAAATCTAGCACTTCACTTTCGATAACCTGCAGATCGCTGCTAACAAAGATTAAGTCAAGTAAAGTTTCAGAGTCCGGAGTTACTCTAGTAGGATCATTAATAAGTTGCTGACAGTTGTGACTGGACATAATATGTGTCAGAAAGTCCCGACCTGGGGAATGAGTTAGGAAGTCACAGTTAAAATCTCCAACAAATACAAAATTTGAACAATTTTCTAACACAAGGAAACTAAAAATATCCTCAAGAATAGAAAAGGAACTATACGCAATATCAGGCGGTTTATAAAATACACCAAGAGTTATGGTAGTACTTTTCATTGATAGCTTGACTATTAGGTATTCTAAGCCTAATGAATCATCTACAGGTATGTCAACTTTACGATATTTCAAGTGCGATGGGATATAAATAGCAACTCCACCACCTCTGGTTTCCCTATCTTCTCGTACCAAGGTGAAGTTATTGATGTGTAGCAATTTATCGTCAATGAGAGGATTTAGCCAAGTTTCCGTCAAGGCCACTACCTCAAAAGCATTTGAAGAAACAAAATCACGAATATCAGGAACTTTATTTACAACCGATCGGATGTTGGCGTGCACAATTGTTATATATCCACAAGGTGGACTAGAAGTAGAAGTATGCCGATTAGATGAACCATTTGTTTCTGATGTGTGAGAAGCATTAGATGACACAGGCAAGTCAAGAATTTGATGTGGAATAAGACAAGTTTTTATGTTTGGGTCAAGATGAATTACACTGGTTTCCGTGCTTGAGGCTGATCGGAAAAATTTGTATCTTTTTTTCTTGAAGAGAAGTACCTGTTGACATATGTATTTGCTGGCCAGAAATCTGGATTCAGCAAAGTAGATTGGAAAGTACTAGGAGCTTTAATGGTAAAGGCGCTGCTAGTATTTTTTTTATTAAGTTCCGGTGGTTTATCTACCTCAAAATCCGCCGTATTATCCAGTTCTTTTAATACCTCCAAAATGTCCTCTTTAGTTTGAAGTGGACTAAGATTAGACACATAAATCCGACAGTATTTTATAAGAGGATTTAACTTAGATCTAGCACCAGTTAAAACGGAATGATTTTTTGAGAAGCAGCGTTCACGATTTTTTCCTTTCTTATTATAAAAATTTGGATTTTTATTAGCTCCGGTGGGTTGTGAGCTGGAAGTGTTATCATTTTTATCGTTTTTAGCATCATTTTTAGTATGAGGATCATTTTTAGTATGAGGAAAAACAGAATCAACTGAACTCAAATTTTGCCTTCCTGGGTTCTTCAACAGAATATTGGGTGAAACTATATCTGTATTTGTACTTAATTTTTTTTTCTTATTGCGACGCGATTCAACTTGAGTCCACTCGAGATCATTATTTCCCGGAATGTTGTCTACAAGATTAGGTTTAGATTGGTAAAATAGGTTGTGATTAACTTCGCTATCGATATCATAGGTAGGAAGGGTAGTAGAAGTATTTTCTGCATATACTTTAGCAGGTGAGAAAGTTGCGTTATGTGTATTTAGACACTGATTGTTACTAGTACCGGATGAAAGTAAAAGATGGACAAGCTGTATATTACTTTCTTTCAATATGTTTACTCCATTTCTGAGGATCCTAATTTCATCAATTAAGGGATTAATAGCTGACAGTAATAAGCTTTTTAGGTCCTTATCCAAGGTAGGGACATGTAAATCCGCATGATCTGAGTCCTTGACAAAAGGCTCTTTCAGATCAGTGTGGAAATTACTTTTATCATTACAACAAATCACCGAAGACTTGTCCAGAATTTGAATATTTTTTAAAAGTTTTACGCAGCTGGGATGATTAAGAGAATTGCATTTAATGCAGACCATACCACCAGCAGGAAGAGCTTTACATTTTTTGCAGGGTAAATAATTAGTCGAAGTACTTGTAAGGGTCAAAGTATTCGAAGCCCCGTCAGGATCACCAGGAGCCATTGTATTTAGACAAATAAGTGAAAGTTGCAGAGATAAGTGAGTGCAGATAAAACAAAAAAACAACAATATACCGACTTTATCGCCGCACTTTTTGTACCTCCGATAAGTTCCGATTGTACAGAAGGTTGTTTTATAGACTGTAACCTATAAAGGCAGCTACTCAAATTACTGCCTCCCCGTAATTTAGGGGGGTTGGCGGAAAGTAAGTCGACAAAAAACTTAACAATTTTTGATGGTTCTGAGCCACCAAACACACTTAAAGCATGCAGAATCGACTCAGAATAGGAAAAGGAGACGTTTAGGTCAATTTTATGCATTCTGGCGTTCGTAGATACAAGAAAACTGTTAAAATTCTTCAGAAACGTCACTTTTGAAGTGTTTTCTTGTACTTTTAAGCCACTCAGATATACTACGGGCTCGGAAAGTGCAACGAAACCATCAAATTTTAGCTAGAAACTGTATTTTTGTCGATTTTTATTGAATTTGAACTATATTTCAACGTTTTTTGATGGTTCTGAGCCACCAAACACACTTAAAGCATGCAGAATCGACTCAGAATAGGAAAAGGAGACGTTTAGGTCAATTTTATGCATTCTGGCGTTCGTAGATACAAGAAAACTGTTAAAATTCTTCAGAAACGTCACTTTTGAAGTGTTTTCTTGTACTTTTAAGCCACTCAGATACCCTACGGGCTCGGAAAGTGCAACGAAACCATCAAATTTTAGCTAGAAACTGTATTTTTGTCGATTTTTACTGAATTTGAACTATACTTCAACGTTTTTTGATGGTTCTGAGCCACCAAACACACTTAAAGCATGCAGAATCGACTCAGAATAGGAAAAGGAGACGTTTAGGTCAATTTTATGCATTCTGGCGTTCGTAGATACAAGAAAACTGTTAAAATTCTTCAGAAACGTCACTTTTGAAGTGTTTTCTTGTACTTTTAAGCCACTCAGATACCCTACGGGCTCGGAAAGTGCAACGAAACCATCAAATTTTAGCTAGAAACTGTATTTTTGTCGATTTTTATTGAATTTGAACTATATTTCAACGTTTTTTGATGGTTCTGAGCCACCAAACACACTTAAAGCATGCAGAATCGACTCAGAATAGGAAAAGGAGACGTTTAGGTCAATTTTATGCATTCTGGCGTTCGTAGATACAAGAAAACTGTTTAAATTCTTCAGAAACGTCAATTTTGAAGTGTTTTCTTGTACTTTTAAGCCACTCAGATACCCTACGGGCTCGGAAAGTGCAACGAAACCATCAAATTTTAGCTAGAAACTGTATTTTTGTCGATTTTTATTGAATTTGAACTATATTTCAACGTTTTTTGATGGTTCTGAGCCACCAAACACACTTAAAGCATGCAGAATCGACTCAGAATAGGAAAAGGAGACGTTTAGGTCAATTTTATGCATTCTGGCGTTCGTAGATACAAGAAAACTGTTAAAATTCTTCAGAAACGTCACTTTTGAAGTGTTTTCTTGTACTTTTAAGCCACTCAGATACCCTACGGGCTCGGAAAGTGCAACGAAACCATCAAATTTTAGCTAGAAACTGTATTTTTGTCGATTTTTATTGAATTTGAACTATATTTCAACGTTTTTTGATGGTTCTGAGCCACCAAACACACTTAAAGCATGCAGAATCGACTCAGAATAGGAAGAGGAGACGTTTAGGTCAATTTTATGCATTCTGGCGTTCGTGGATACAAGAAAACTGTTAAAATTCTTCAGAAACGTCACTTTTGAAGTGTTTTCTTGTACTTTTAAGCCACTCAGATACCCTACGGGCTCGGAAAGTGCAACGAAACCATCAAATTTTAGCTAGAAACTGTATTTTTGTCGATTTTTATTGAATTTGAACTATATTTCAACGTTTTTTGATGGTTCTGAGCCACCAAACACACTTAAAGCATGCAGAATCGACTCAGAATAGGAAGAGGAGACGTTTAGGTCAATTTTATGCATTCTGGCGTTCGTGGATACAAGAAAACTGTTAAAATTCTTCAGAAACGTCACTTTTGAAGTGTTTTCTTGTACTTTTAAGCCACTCAGATACCCTACGGGCTCGGAAAGTGCAACGAAACCATAAAATTTTAGCTAGAAACTGTATTTTTGTCGATTTTTATTGAATTTGAACTATATTTCAACGTTTTTTGATGGTTCTGAGCCACCAAACACACTTAAAGCATGCAGAATCGACTCAGAGTAGGAAAAGGAGACGTTTAGGTCAATTTTATGCATTCTGGCGTTCGTAGATACAAGAAAACTGTTAAAATTCTTCAGAAACGTCACTTTTGAAGTGTTTTCTTGTACTTTTAAGACACTCAGATACCCTACGGGCTCGGAAAGTGCAACGAAACCATCAAATTTTAGCTAGAAACTGTATTTTTGTCGATTTTTATTGAATTTGAACTATATTTCAACGTTTTTTGATGGTTCTGAGCCACCAGACACACTTAAAGCATGCAGAATCGACTCAGAATAGGAAAAGGAGACGTTTAGGTCAATTTTATGCATTCTGGCGTTCGTAGATACAAGAAAACTGTTAAAATTCTTCAGAAACGTCACTTTTGAAGTGTTTTCTTGTACTTTTAAGCCACTCAGATACCCTACGGGCTCGGAAAGTGCAACGAAACCATCAAATTTTAGCTAGAAACTGTATTTTTGTCGATTTTTATTGAATTTGAACTATATTTCAACGTTTTTTGATGGTTCTGAGCCACCAAACACACTTAAAGCATGCAGAATCGACTCAGAATAGGAAAAGGAGACGTTTAGGTCAATTTTATGCATTCTGGCGTTCGTAGATACAAGAAAACTGTTAAAATTCTTCAGAAACGTCACTTTTGAAGTGTTTTCTTGTACTTTTAAGCCACTCAGATACCCTACGGGCTCGGAAAGTGCAACGAAACCATCAAATTTTAGCTAGAAACTGTATTTTTGTCGATTTTTATTGAATTTGAACTATATTTCAACGTTTTTTGATGGTTCTGAGCCACCAAACACACTTAAAGCATGCAGAATCGACTCAGAATAGGAAAAGGAGACGTTTAGGTCAATTTTATGCATTCTGGCGTTCGTAGATACAAGAAAACTGTTAAAATTCTTCAGAAACGTCACTTTTGAAGTGTTTTCTTGTACTTTTAAGCCACTCAGATACCCT